CTCCCTCCCTCACTCCCAGCCCAGCCAGCTTCTCACCCCCTCAACCCAATGTCGAGGTGCCCACGGGTGCGCAGCCCTGGCCATGGCCTTAAGTTTCAGTCCCACCGCCCATCCGCGGCCGCGTCCGAGGTGCCCCAGGCTCCACCAGGCTCTGCTCCGCGGCTGCGCCCGTCCCGTCCCGCGGGGTGCCCGTTGTGCTCCAGACGCAGCCTCCATCGCGCCCGTTGCATTCATTACGCCGGTGCATTCTGGCCGCACCCATGGCGTGGCGTGGCGTGGCGTGGCGTGGCGCGGCGCGGCGCAAACACAGGCAATACGGGCGGCGGGCAGCACCATTGCCTGCTACCTTACCTGCGGAGCCTGCGGTGAAATTAGATCACATTCTTCGGCGAGGCGCAGAGCCTTGCAGAGCGCCGCCGTCGAAGAAGGCATCCTCCGCAGTGCCTCCCATGGGCTTCGCCTTGTGTGAGGCTCTCGTGATCAAAACTGCTGCTTGCTTAAAACCAGAGGCACACTAAAAAAAAATTGCAGCTGTTTTCGAGGTAAAAGTTTGAAGTTTTATCTGGTGACAAAAAGCGATTGCTATGGCTCTCCGGCCCTGACTTCCGCACCCTGCCCAACTTCGACCGCCCCCGCCCCTCTCTCTTTGTGCTGAGCCTGTGCCTAGCAATCCCCAAGCAATCCTTTCGGCGGTTTGCATGGATCAGGTCCACCGGAGGCACGCTCCACTGTGCTCTGCTGTGCTCTGCTGTGCCCTGCTGCCGGTGCACCGGCCGAACAGGACATTCCCTTTTAATGGGGTCCTGCTGCACAATGAGGGCTCGCCCAGGCCCCCTCCGCTCCGGCCGTATTCCCGAGAACACGAAAGACCCCATTAGGATGGTCATCGCGCGAGCCCTGGCTACCATACGATAATGTTCCTTGAAATCCCTTTGCTAGCCGTGATTGCTGGGTCAACACAGCCCCATTAAAAACAAATAAATCCTATAGTTTTCCAGACGAAAAAGAAAAAAACAAACAAAAACGGCCTCACCAAAAAGGAAGAAAAAACGGAAAATCAGGGCACGATGGGCTGGGTGGGACCTAACGGCTGCAAATGCTACTCGATAAGCAAGCTGCAGCCGGGCTGGGCAGGGTGACCAATCAAGTATGTCTTGACGGGTGTCAAACAAGCCCGGCCACGCCGCACCACGCCACGCCCACGGAGTGCCCGGACAAGGTATCCCGTTGTCAACGGGCAAGTGTCCAACAGGATGTGCATCGAGCGTGATGATTGAGCTACTTCACATGAGCGCGGCCCGTCGCATGCCGCTATACGCACCATCTTGAAATATTGCAGAGTTTAATTAGCGAGCAGGTGAGCGAGCGGCAATCTAGTCACGGAGAGGACCGGGTCGTCCCTGCTAGACTCGACTCGACGTGTCGTGCTTGCGCCTACTTGCAGGAGCACCCAGAAAAATGGATAGCTGTACCAACCATCGTATGGTAATCCAGGGACAACCATAAAAATATGGTTGAGCCGACCCCGACAGTCTTATGGTTTCACCAACATTGACAATGGTTAGGCTAGCTGTTTTCGTGGTCGGCGCAGCCATAGGATTGTTGCCACAACCATATTTTTATGGTTGTCCCTGGCTAACCATACGATGGTTGCTGCAGCTATCTATTTTTCTGGGTGAGGAGGCCTCGCACCAGGCGAAACTCACATTATTTGAATTCGTTTGATGTCTGTCGCAGGGGGGCGGTGATTACGACTACGACTATTCACAGCTGACGGAGAAGCCCCCGGTCACGCCTTCCAAGCCGAGCAACAACGCCACGACGGCCGCCACCAGCACCACCACCAAGAAGCCCAGCGTGCGCACCTCGGAGACGGAAACGAGCAGGTTAGCGTCTACATGACCACGCTTACCGCGGTGTTGTTCCCACAGGAATCGCATGATAGTGACGGACCCCCTCGCCCTTTGTTTGTGTCCACCACAGATCGCAGGAGCGCTCCGCGGCCGCGAAGCCTGAGGTCGGCGCCAGCACCGGCAGGGAGGACTCCGTCGCGGCGCCCGCCCCCGTGAGGGCTGCCCTCGCCCCTGTCGCTGCCCCGCTCAAATCCAAGCCCGCAGTCCCCGTCAAAGCCGTGGTCCCCGTCAAGCCCGTCGTCCCCGTCAAGCCAGCCGTCCCCGTCAAGATCTCTGTGGCGCACCGCCGTTGCGGCGCTGGGTACCACCGCGACGCATCAGGCCGCTGCAGGCGCGACCGCCGACCTCTGTAAGTGTTCCCGAGCAGCCCGCTTGTCTCTCACCTCCTGCCACTTATTGATGACAACACGGACGCCGCATTCCCCTGTCATCTTCAAAAACATTGGAACAAAAATAATTGTGTGTATTTGTGCACAGGTACGCCCAGAAGCATGGCCATCGTCGGCCTGCCAGCCGGTCAGGCCCCGCAGCTGCAGCTGCTGGAGCCACCGCAGCGGCTGTCGCGGGACCGCCGCCGTCCTCGAGTGTCCCATCGGTAGCTGCTGTAGCAGCCCCTGCGGCTGCCGCGAGAATGCCACCATCCTCGGGTGTTCCATCGGCGGATGCAGCACCCGGAGCCACCCCAGCTGTCGTCGCGGGACCGTCGCCATCCCCGGTTGCCCCATCGGCAACTGCCCTTCCAGTCGCCAACCCAGCGCTCCGCCCATCGGCCGATGTCGCTGCAGCTGCGCCTACAGCTGTTGCTCCCTCTGCAGCCCGGGACGACCGGCCCGCAGCTGCCCTCCCGGTGGCGCCCCTGCCGCATGCAGCTGATGCAGCCGCGGCAGGTGCAGGTGCTGTGCGCCCTGCTGCTCCCGCATCCGCAGTTGATGTCTCTTCACCCATCACCATAATTTCTGTGGCACCGCAACCAGCCTCTGCACCATCAACAAAAGAGGCCGCGTCGTTGCTTACTGGAGCAGTTACTGCTTCATCGTTAAAGGAACACACCTCCTCCACTGTTCAGCTCAAAGAGCCTGAATCTGCCTCCTCTTCACAGAACACTAAGGCTGAAGCTGTCCAAACCGTGTCACAAGACGACGATCTGAAAAAACCCTCAAAACTGGAAGTATTAATTTCTGAACAAAAACCTTTGGCGTAATCTCCAACAAGGGGATGACACACATCGCTTTGTTTTGGAGTAAACACCAGTACGTTTTGCCCTCACGAGTGACTCTCATAAAGCTTGACCTCTGGAGAACTGATTAACGAGTGAACCCAAGACTCATATGTGGAGTAAGGATTAACTATAGAGCTGAACAAGACGCCGCGAAAAGCGTTTCTTAATTCGTTCGTAAACGAAGTTCTGAAATTTGTGCGTTTTGCTCAGGTCTAGCAGGCAGTCACTTCTCCGGGGTCAAGGCGAGGGTCAAGCGGTGAGGTAGGAGAGGGGGGGGGGGGTAGATTGCAGAGAAGCCTAGGCCGTGAAAAGAGAAAAGCAAAGCATTTGCACGTAAAATAAAGTTGCTAGTCATATTTTCCGTCGAAGTAAAATTAATAGAGACTTGTCGGTTGTCGGTCTCACTTCGAATTAAAATTAGTCTTCTGCGGAAGTCGATACGTATGACCCATGACCCACATATTTTTGTAGTTACGTAAAACCGATGATTCTGCACTTCCATTGTACTGACTGACAAAAGTGTCAAATAAATTTAGGAATGATTATTGTACTGTATAAAATGTTTCAAAAACGAAAAATTAAAAAGTGAAAATTTGGGAAAGACTAAACAGTGTTTTGTTTATTTGTACCTTAAGTGGGCCACACAGGGGATGGGGACGAGTGGGGTGAGCTTATCCTATCAGTATTTATATTGCGACCAGCAAATGTCGCTGGAGACACGCTCCTCCCGGTCCGTTTGTCCAGTTACCTGCTTGATTATTTAACGGTCCTCTTTTCGCTCAGCTGATTAGGACCACAAGTTGATGCTGATTTGGCGCAGTGCCGGGTGATCCGTGCGGAATGGAGAATGGAGGTGGGGGAAAGGTGGGAGAGCTGGGGGGGCGAGGGGGACAGTCAGCGCCAGCCACTCGTCCGACCCGGTGGCTGACCTAAACCGACGGGGACCCCTATCTTAACCTTCACTCCCTTGTTAGAGAAAGTGGAGAGTGGAGAGAAGTCTTACCTTCGCTGATTTTCTACCGGCTTCGCAAACAAAAACATGAACTCATGGACTCCACAACATTTGGTGTGGTTTCGCCAATTTCGGTCTGGCCGTCTGCTGTCGTACCGGCGCCTGTGGTGTGTGGCATAGGCAAAACGCAACTACCCGTGCGGGCCCACCCCCGTGACCGTCCCAACCTCTCCTGCCGGCTTGTGGCGCCCCTCAAAACAACTATCCCAGCC